TAGTGATCCTGGCCGAAATTAAAAAAATCGGCTAAGCCGATTTTTCGACCCGGTCGGTCGATTTTTTCTAAAATCGGCTAGCCGATTTTATAAGTAAAAATTTTTTTTCTCAAAATGAACGACTCATTCGCAAATAATAAAGGTCAGTAATCGCATTTAATTTTGCTTACAATACACTTGACTTTATTGCATACAATTGTTTGGTAACCGTATTTAATTTTGCTTACAATACTTTTTAACAGACTTTTCTACTAGCAGTAAAATATATACTGTTCGGTTTGATAATAGATAAGAATTTATTTATTTAAAAATTTTGAAATTTTATTCTAAATCGGGGTAAGGGCTAAAACAGTGTTGATTTTCTTTTAAGAAAAGCAGATCATGAACCGTGTTGGGATGAAGACGGCTTCGTTTATCAGTAATTGTGTTTCTAGCGTCAGAAAACAAACGCTCAGATAGAACAGAAGTTCCAGGAATACATAATAACTGTTGTGCTTGGCGTGCCATTAAAGGAAGACTTGATTTGTTATCATGCCAAAAGGTTAGTGGGTTATTTTTTTTATATAGAGGATCAGAAAGATCATACTTAGCCATTTTAGGCATATCAAAATAAATTTTTAGTTCAGTTTCAACAGGGCACGACTGGTGGGTAGTTTCTTCGAATAGTGAGCTTAATAGGGAAGTAGGTAAATTATTGTTGGGTAAAGAATAATTATTATTTTCTATATATTCCATCATCCTGCATTTTAATTCATCTTTTGTTGATTCAAATTTTGCCGGCTCAAAACCTAAGTCTTTAAATCTTGGATCCAACATAGCTGCAACATATCCTTCTGGCCCGGGTTCTTCCCAACGTTCACCAAATGACAGCTCAATTTCGTCACGTACATCACGAATAATTGGGTGTGTGAGAGTTTCTTCTTTTTGATATAAGTGTTCTTGCAAAATTCTAACTAATGGTAACATCATTGAAAGAGTAGGGTAATGGTCTCCACCTACTATAGTTGTAACATGTGCAAATGGACCTAACAATTCAACCAACTCCTGGATTCCTAGCAAATCATCATCATCAAGAAGTAGCTTTTCAAGTGCTTTAGCATTATTTCTAACATCTCTTTCTTTATCTTTTGCAAGATCTTTTTGGAGCCTTTTTATTGCTTCATAAAGTACAAATAGCCGACTTAGTAAGAGATATGTGGAATTCCACCTGGTTGCAACGTCATTTGAAATTGGATCCAAAACTGAAGCATCTTTATTATTGATTAATGGGTTTTTTGCTTTAGATATTTCAAGTTGTATTGACTGTAATTTTTCTCTATATTTGTCTTTTCCAGCAACAAATGCGTTTAGATCTTTGGCACGATTTATTAGATCAGCTGCATACTTTAAACCATCTCTAACTCCAAGCTGAATGGTATGAGCGGTGCATCGAATATGTAAGATTCCAATATCTTTTAAAGCTTTTACCATTGAGCTAGCATTGTCGGTTACGCCTGCTACACATTTGTCACTTAAATTCCATTTAACTAATTCTCTTCTTAAACAATCTTCAATATGTTCAGATGTATGCGGGTATGAAAAACTTTCAATTGTAAGTAAGGCCTTATGCATTTTAAATTCTGAAGAAAGCCAGTGCGCCGTAATTCCAATGTAGGGTGTATGAAATTTAGTCCACAAGTCAGTAGTAAACGCGAAATATTCTAATGTGTTATTAATTAAATTTTTTAGGCCATTTTCAGAATAATTTACTGATTCGAATAACTTTTGCTTAACTATGTCTTCACCCGGAAATTGGAATTGTGGTTCTGCTTCATGTAAGATATCCTGAAATTGTTCATTTACTAAAACATTAAAAGGTTGCATATCATCAACTATCCATGCTAATATTCTAGAGGTAATTCTATTTTGTTTTTTATTTGGAAGTGGTATCTGACGATTAACTAATTCTAATAAAGTAGACTGTGACAGGTCTAATCTAACAGGCTGTAACTGTACTGTTTCTTTTTCGCCACTTAAAGGTAATAAAGGACCAGTTTTACTTAATCTATGTACGGTTCGAAGATGGCTAGCTAAATTTGTTGTACTTGTTGCAATTTCAAAAGTACTTGTGCATTGTTTAAGATTATCATCACCGACCCATGCTCGACAATAGATTATTTTGGCAGGTTTGTCTTTTTTCATGTAATGCCATACCCAACTTTTCTCTGGTTTAGATTTTTTATTAGCATTGTTATTTCGTAAGTTACTATTACTTTTCCTTTTAACTATAATATTTTGTTGTGATGATTTTGACGCCTCCGTGATTGTATTTTGAGTGGAATTAGATGAACCTTCTAGTAATAAAAGAGATTCTTCATCTGAGACAGGTTTACTATCTATAGAGGGCTCATCCAAAGAAAGTTCATCATCTAATAATAATGGATCTTTATCTAATGATAAAGGCTGTTGTTTGTCAGATAATAAGGGTGATTCTTTAGATAATAATTCGGAAGATTCTTCATTTGGTAATAACTGCGATTCTTCTGAATATGCGTATTCATCGTTAGAGAAATTTTGCAGGGACATTTTTGTATACTATATTAAGTGCGGTATGATTCTCTTTTTATATGTGTTTAATTTTGAGGTTTATTATAACAATTCTAATAAATATTTTAAATTTGTTAATTAACGCATTTTACAATTGACACTTTTAAATTCGGCTTTGCTAAAAGCCTATATCATAATGAGGATCCGGGCACATGCATGAATACAATACTTACTAGTACTGTATTTAGCACATCGTGTTTTTTGGTTAGAGCCTGTAAGATCTTATGATAACACACAATCGAATATGAAATCGAAAGTTCAAATTTTGTATGTATTGTTAGCGGGCTTAAAGCTTTTACAATGTATGTTGTTTTTTTATTTTTTTTTTCTTTGTTGTATATAACAATGATTGCAATAATAATTGGTCTTTTTAAGCTTTTTAAGAATAATAGAACTTTTTTTGTCATGCAGGTTTAAATCAGTTTCATTGTTTTTATTATTTTACTAATCCATTTTAATAAGTTTAAAAAAAAATACCATTCCTACTAGAGCTTGTGGGATTTTGCGATTTACGGTGGAAATAGCCAGAGCGGCCCCCAAAGTTCTGTTAAAACCCCGTATAATATAAAATTACAATCGGACAAGTTATTGATATCGATATCGATAACTTGCCCGATTGTAATTTTATATTATACGGGCTTGTAACAGAACTTTGGGGGCCGCCCTGGCTCTTTCGCGATTTACAGTGTCTCCAAAGAATCTGCATTTAAAAAATTTAATATGCATAGTCAGCGAATCACAAATTCCACAAGTCTCTGATTGTTACTTTGCATTTGTTAACGCCACCATCGTATCAAGTGAACCTTATAGATCTCCCACAGCATAATTTAATATAATATTGATCAGGATCAGTGTTATATGAGCGGTATTAACAAAATATTAGGAATTTCAAGTTTATGACCGAATTAATAGAGATTAAAGGATATGTGTTACAATAGAATTCACATGTTGTCAGTTATAATATCCATTAAAATAAGAAAATTTTTTTTATTACACTTTATAAACTACTAGAATCTTAATCATTATTTATTAAAATGGGCACTACGCTAATATAAATTGATCGATTGTGCATTATTAATAATTATTAAATAACATTCTTAATAAATTCGACTAATTGTAAACTCAAAATCAATACTGGTTTTATTGGCAGCTTTAATTTAATAAATTTTTGAATCGCATAATTATATATAGTAAGATACTTTCTAATCGGGTTTTATTCATGTTGATAAG